GAGAAATCAACACACATGGGTGTATGTCCTTTGTTGCTGAGATTTATTGATAAAAACAGTACAAAAAACCAACCATTTGTACACATATTTACAAATAATAATAAAAAGTGAGTGAGTACATTTCAACATTTTCAGCAATCACTCACAATCCTGGCACTGCCATGGTATCTGTAGTCTGCATTTACCACATGTGTATCTGTAGCCAAACGGAAGAAGACCGTCTATATTCTTAGCAGCATGCACAGCGTGGTTCAGACTGATAACACTACCAAAAGGAAGCCAAACACTGTCACCCTTTACAACAAAACAAAGTGTGGCGTGGATGTGATGGACCAGATGGTTCGGGAGTACACTGTCCGCAGAGGAACACGGCGCTGGCCAGTTGCCGTGTTTTATAACATGATTGACATGGCAGCACTGAATGCACATGTGCTGTATCAAGCATGCACCGGGACGAAGGAAAGATGGGTGGACTTCCTGGTGGAGCTTGCAAGAGAGTTGGCTCACTCTCATGTAGCTGGGAAGAAAGCAAGAAAAGAACAGTTGCTTTGGACACAACCCTCCACACCTAGCCCTGGAAAAAAAGCCATGTGTCAGGTCAAACACAAATGCAAGAACAATCATGCCACTGTGTGATGTGTTCACTGCTAAAGATACACATGTGGTAAATGCAGACTACAGATACCATGGCAGTGCCAGGATTGTGAGTGATTGCTGAAAATGTTGAAATGTACTCACTCACTTTTTATTATTATTTGTAAATATGCTTGGTTTTTTGTACTGTTTTCATCAATAAATCTCAGCAACAAAGGAAATACACCCATGTGTGTTGATTTCTCCCTAAGATGGCAAACTGAAACACTCCAAGTTGGTGACTTTTGGAGATTTATTTCCCTGGATGATTGAGAATGCATCAAGACGAACACAAAAGGAAGTTCACAGCTTTTAGCAGCTCCCCCACCCCCTCATTCACACACCCCCACTCCCCTCCAGAATTCCCAGGTAACAACCTAATTTACATATGAATGACTAGCCAATTTAGCTTCCACTTGGCTGAAGCTAAAGCCTAGCTAAAAGCCTACCAGCCATTTGGCTAGAAGGCGGGTTTTTAAAGGTAGAAAGGTAGAAGCCTGGCCGGCGGGTGTTAACTTCTATATTATTCAGTTCAGATGAGTTCAGTTTTATTTATAGAGTGACAGATTTCAACAACAGTTGCCTCTATTTTACGAGAACGTAAAATAATATAGAGAAAACCCCAACAATCATATGACCCCTTATGGCAGTCCATTATTATCATTTTAAATTATATTTAAATTTGCTAAATAGCTAACATAGTTAGCTAACAAAATTTCTCACCTAACTATGTGTCAGTGATTCACAACTTTTTGGTGAAGTGGTTTATATTCCAACATAGGCCATTAAAAGTAAAAGTTATTTATATTCTATGACTGTAAATGATATTTCATGATATTTCCAGACTTCAACAAACTGTTCCTTCTCTCTTTGACCTTTGACCTTGACTTTGTAATACGTGAATGTGCTTGTGATTCCTGTGGGAAACACTGCAGTACAATTTTCATGATCAGTATAATCATGACAGTGAATTCTAATAGTTTATACCAATCTCAGCTTGAATGAACTTCTGTGCACTGCTGACAGAAAGTGCTGCTGTGTTTTCACATCCTCCTTCTCTCAGCACAGCATATGGCATTTTTATTGGGGGGAGTTCACACAGTCAAGCAGATAGATCACAGATGATTGCATTTTCTTCCTCGTGCCGTCCTTTGCCTTCTCCTCCTTCTCTATATCAGCCAGGGTAGGAGGGGGTTTTCACGAGGAGCACTGCACGTGCTGCCTCATATTTAATTACTTAGGCATGTAGGCTAAAGCAACACAACAATTCCATTTCACTGCAGCCCCCTGAGATTTTATCCCTGTGTACAAAGCATGTTGCATGTGTGTGTGTGTTGCGTACCCTATTTATTTCTCTGCCTGCTGTTCCTGTTCCACATGGAGACTCTGAGCATGGGAGACCTGGTGTGTGTATCTGTGTTTGCAGATGGCAGGAATGCCAGGTCGGAGTGAGTGGGAGGAGAGTGATTATAGGCTGTGTTGCTTCTTTATAGGTGTGTTTGAGGGTAGCCTATATCTTTTATAAGATTGTTATCATATTGTATTTGTATGTGGGTGTTTTACATTATAGAACAACTGCTGATCTTACTGTGTATGCACCAACTAAGAGTCTCACTTGCTTGCAGGATATTATGATTGAAACATATAGCTGAAGTGAAGACTTTTTCTTCTTCTTCTTTTTAAATTGACCATAGCAATAGCTCAGGTAGGCCATTAAATCTAGCTCAGTTCCAATACTGGCAGATCAAGCCATCTTCGTTCAAGCATGCATCACCTGATGCCTCAGTTGATTGTCTTCTATCCAGCTGGCAAATCTCTAATGTGTAATCACACATTACAGAGCATCTGCAAACCACTCTGCAACCCACCTCTACCCCAATGCTTCCTCCCTGTATCTGACATAATCAGTGTAGGATTTGTTGTTGTGGATGTTTTATTGTGGAAAGATACAGACCTCTCCCTGACTCTTTCCTTTTTCTTTTTTTTCCCGTCTTCTAAAGATATAAAATGTCAATACAAAAATATAACATTATAATCTGTAATTTCACAGTCCACACAAATTTTTGGTATCATTTAAGTAGTTATATGTCTAAAAAGACAAATGATGTTGCTTTACATTTGTAAAGCACAAATAGTGAAAAAATATGCAAAGCTGAAAATAAAGGTGCTGTATTCTTTTTAAAAAATATATTATATCACATAAAATACTTTGATGAACCCACTCCTTCCTGCTGTGTTAGACTAAATCAGTCCTTTGGGTTGTCTTCGTTGCCTGCTCTGTTCTGTGATGGGTTTTGCTCTTCATGCCTTTTACGTTCCATTATTGCACACTGAAGGGTGGGAAAGTCTCAGTAAAGAGTTATACCACCGTATATAAATTTCTGCAGGTGGAACTAGCAATCTTCTCTTGGCAATAGAGTTGTTAACGCTAGTGTATTTTCAGTTTAAACTATGAATAATTGTGTGACTTATCCTCAAACAAAGGAATTTCAAGCCAAACAGGTTAATACATACCATATAGTGAAGCATTGTGCTGGTGTACTGTGGAGACGTTTTTTGGCTGTGGGAACTGGAACTGAATGCAAGCAATGTACGGAGACATCCTTGATGATAATCTGCTTCAGAGCACCAAAAGGACGACGACCCTAAACACACAGCCAAGATAACAAAGTAGTGGTTTCGGGAAAACTCTGTCAATGTCCTTGAGTCGCTTCAGCCAGACCCAGAGTGGAAGCCAACTGAACATCTATGGAGAAATCTGAAAATGGCTGTGCACTGACCCTCCCCATCCAAGTTGATGAAGCTTGAGAGGTTCTGCAAAGAAGAATGGGAAAAACTGCCTGAAAATGGATGTGCCTAGTTTGTAGCATACAGAAAGGCTTGAGGCTGTAATTGCTGTCAAAGTACTTCGATAAAGTACTGAGCAACGACTGAATGCTTCTATGCATTAGCATTCATATTACACATTTCAGCCCACTTTTTTATCGTCATTATGGGGTTTTGTGTGTAGATTTTAAAATGAAAAATGAATGTAACTGTTTTTGAATAAGGCTGTAAGCATGGCAAAATGTGTGACATGATGCACTGCATATCCTTGTGTACAATATACCCTACATACAGAAAGTATGCTGACAAGATGGTGGCTCAGTGGTTTGCACAGCAAAAGACACCTGAGGTTAAACACTGGCCAAGACCCTTTCAATGTGAAGTTTACATGTTGTCCCTATGCTTGCACAGATTTCCTTGAGGATTTGTGATCTCTCCCATCATTAAAAAAAACATGCCGTATAAAGGTGTCCTTGACCGTAGAGGTGGCATTGGTCCCTGGGTCCTGCATGTTTCCCACAGCTAATTCTGAGGATGTGTTAAATACAGAGAGTGAATTTCCCTGTGGGGATTAATAAAGGATAAGTTAATTTATACAGTACAAAGGTTGACTGACCCCATTATTTGCTAGAATAAGAGTTTCTTTTCTTTTCTTTTTTAATTAGCAAGGCATGAAGGCCTTTTGAATCATAGATATGGTTAGTGAGCTAATTGCACTCAATCAAGACTGTTCCTCATTTCAGAGGTAGTAGATTGAACTGCTGTGACTTTTTCTCTTCTGCAGACCCACCCACACTCAGCTATATATGTATTGTATACCGTGCCAGTTCCTCAATGTTCCTGCCATATGGATGTTTTATGCCATACACATGATTGAATTTATTTCCTGTTTTTCTGGATGGCAAAAGCAACGACACCGTCCTCTGTGTAGGGCAGGGGAGATGGATAAGCTTTGTCATGAAAGAAAACTAGAGCAAATTTATGAATTTGTTTGTCTTTAAATCTTTATATATTTCACTTATTTTCATGTAACATAATTATAATAAAATAGAAAGTGAACGTAATGTGTGAGAAAAATACTAAAGTAGTTACTTACATGAATCAATCATATTGATATATAAGACATATTGAGCCACTGACCACCGAAAGGATATGAAAGCAATTAAAATGGTTATTAAAATTGGAAAATCTTCATATAAATGTCAGTTCATTTCCATTTCAATATTTTAGTAAGCTATAAAAATATGTAATAGAAAGCTTTCATTCTTTTTCCCTTCCCGACTTTAGCCAAGATCAGCCTGTAACTGTGTTGAGTGATGGCAGATAGCGAGTATGGATTCAGGACATTAACAGCTCCTCTCACAGAGTGCTGTGGTGATGTAACCTACTTGCAGTGAAGAGGGCCTTAGAGAGAAAAAGCTCAGACAGCCTGTTTAGGTGGAGAGAATTCTGTGAAATGTTTGTGAGTCACTTTGCTATGTTTGACAGCAACAGTTGTGCAAAATAGCTCAGAGTGAAGTCTTGCACTTGTGTCTCTACAGAGCAGCCAGAGCATTTGGAGAATACCTGTCCAATACCAATCCAGAGAACCGCAACGGAGCAGGTAGGTGGCACACTTAGTAGTCCTACAACAATACTATATCAGTATTAGAGCAATATAGTATTTAGTCGGAAATATCAGTTTCTCCGGCTTCACACGTATTTCCTACTCCCAAAAATACCTTAAAATATTTCTGTGTGAAATATTGGCCTGTGACATGTCGGATAATCAGTTATTAAAATATTTTAAAAATGCTGATGTTTATGTAATAAACGCTCAGCTTCAGGGTGCAGTCACACCACAACAGCAATGTTTCACAGGTTATCCCCAAAACCATAAGTATTTGATCACCCTAAAATCAGCTGCAGCGAACTATACTGTCACCTGGTAAGTGCTGAAAAATTGGAATTGGAAATTGGGCAAGTGTAAGGCTCTGAACAATTTTGACAGGGGCCAACCTGTGAGAGCAGGGTGACTGGTTCAGAAAATCAGCACGTATTGTGGGTGGTTCCCAGAATGCAGTGGTTAAAGCTTACCAGAAGTGGCTGCAGACCATGTGGACAAGTTCAAGGCATCAGTGTTCCTTGATGGCAGTGGCTTCTTGAAGGACATGTATGGTATGGCATAAGGAACTTGACAGAGAACTGACTCCAGATTGCTCTATCCTGCTGCTCGATTCCGTTGTGAATCCTGATACTACAGGACACCATCCAAGGTCTTCTAAAGTCCATACCTCAACAATTCTAAGCAGGATATCTTAATGTTGCAGATTACTGATATATCTGCAAGTTCTTCCCCCCTGCTGTTGGCAAGTGCTGTTCATAGAGGATTATCATATTGTAGGGTTTTTACTTTAACATGTAAAGCACTGTAAGATGACTATTTTTGTAAACTGATTATGAAAAAACAAAACTGAATTGGTAATGTAATTGAGGATTTATATTTTCAGTAGTAATTTATATTTGTTAGCATGCTCTTTTTAGTGCAAATATGTGGAATACATAAAGTAGCAGAAAACATGACAATTGAGATGGGGCTGAAGTTAGGTGCAAAGTGGCCTGCAGATACGCAGCATCTGTGGGCAGGCTAAAACAGGATTGTGTGCTTGCCAATTGGGAAGGGTCTGGAAGGGTATCAAGCGAGCTATCAGATGCACTGAGACCAGCTTACCTACTGGGATTGTGGTTGAGCCTAACTTAGTAACCTACTCAGTCTAATACTATGCTCAGTTTAATTATATCCTGGAAAAGCTGTTGTGACTAACTAGCACTTCCCTTTCCCCTACCTTTGCAATATCGCTTTTCTGTGTATGATTTCAACTTTATAAAAGGGAATCTTACAAATCTGTTTGCTTTCCACTCAGTTTTTCTTCAGTATAACTTAGTAAGTAAAGTACAGTAAAATTTTATTTATAAAGCACCTTTCAAGATAAAAATCAAAAAGTGCTTCACAGAAGCTAAAACCTAAAAATAAAAATCAACCAAAAGCAAGTTTAAAAAGATGAGTCTTTAGCTGTTTTTTAAAAGCGACCACGGAGTCCACAGATCTCAGGCTCAAAGGGAGAGAGTTCCACAATCTGGGGGCCACAGTTACAAAAGCTTTGTTGCCTTTTGTTTTCAGCCTCATGTGTAGGATAACCAGCAAGCCCTAGTCACATTACCTCAGGGACCTGCTGGTAATGTATGGATGTAAAAGTTCACTTATACAGGGAGTGCAGAATTATTAGGCAAGTTGTATTTTTGAGGAATAATTTTATTATTGAACAACAACCATGTTCTCAATGAACCCAAAAAACACATTAATATCAAAGCTGAATGTTTTTGGAAGTAGTTTTTAGTTTGTTTTTAGTTTTAGCTATTTTAGGGGGATATCTGTGTGTGCAGGTGACTATTACTGTGCATAATTATTAGGCAACTTAACAAAAAACAAATATATACCCATTTCAATTATTTATTTTTACCAGTGAAACCAATATAACATCTCCACATTCACAAATATACATTTCTGACATTCAAAAACAAAACAAAAACAAACAGCGACCAATATAGCCACCTTTCTTTGCAAGGACACTCAAAAGCCTGCCATCCATGGATTCTGTCAGTGTTTTGATCTGTTCACCATCAACATTGCGTGCAGCAGCAACCACAGCCTCCCAGACACTGTTCAGAGAGGTGTACTGTTTTCCCTCCTTGTAAATCTCACATTTGATGATGGACCACAGGTTCTCAATGGGGTTCCGATCAGGTGAACAAGGTGGCCATGTCATTAGTTTTTCTTCTTTTATACCCTTTCTTGCCAGCCATGCTGTGGAGTACTTGGACGCGTGTGATGGAGCATTGTCCTGCATGAAAATCATGTTTTTCTTGAAGGATGCAGACTTCTTCCTGTACCACTGCTTGAAGAAGGTGTCTTCCAGAAACTGGCAGTAGGACTGGGAGTTGAGCTTGACTTCATCCTCAACCCGAAAAGGCCCCACAAGCTCATCTTTGATGATACCAGCCCAAACCAGTACTCCACCTCCACCTTGCTGGCGTCTGAGTCAGACTGGAGCTCTCTGCCCTTTACCAATCCAGCCACGGGCCCATCCATCTGGCCCATGAAGACTCACTCTCATTTCATCAGTCCATAAAACCTTAGAAAAATCAGTCTTGAGATATTTCTTGGCCCAGTCTTGACGTTTCAGCTTGTGTGTCTTGTTCAGTGGTGGTCGTCTTTCAGCCTTTCTTACCTTGGCCATGTCTCTGAGTATTGCACACCTTGTGCTTTTGGGCACTCCAGTGATGTTGCAGCTCTGAAATATGGCCAAACTGGTGGCAAGTGGCATCTTGGCAGCTGCACGCTTGACTTTTCTCAGTTCATGGGCAGTTATTTTGCGCCTTGGTTTTTCCACACGCTTCTTGCGACCCTGTTGACTATTTTGAATGAAACGCTTGATTGTTCGATGATCACGCTTCAGAAGCTTTGCAATTTTGAGACTGCTGCATCCCTCTGCAAGATATCTCACTATTTTTGACTTTTCTGAGCCTGTCAAGTCCTTCTTTTGACCCATTTTGCCAAAGGGAAGGACGTTGCCTAATAATTATGCACACCTGATATAGGGTGTTGATGTCATTAGACCACACCCCTTCTCATTACAGCGATGCACATCACCTAATATGCTTAATTGGTAGTAGGCTTTCGAGCCTATACAGCTTGGAGTAAGACAACATGCATGAAGAGGATGATGTGGACAAAATACTCATTTGCCTAATAATTCTGCACTATATATGTTGGCGTTTGTCTATGCAGAGCCCTGAAAGTCAAGGTCAAAACCTTAAAGTGGATTCTGAATTTATCGGGGAGCCAGTGCAGCTGAATCAGCAGGGGTGTGACATGGGAGTACTTGGAGGACTTGGTCAGAAGCTTTGCAGCAGCGTTCTGAACAACTTGCAGATGCTCCAAAGAGGCTTTACATAAACAACTAAGCAAAAAATTACAATAATCCAGACGAGATGAAACAAATGCATGAATGACAATTTCTAATTTGGAGCGCGATACAATGGGACTCAGCTTAGCAGTGTTTCTCAAGTGATAAAAACAGGAGCGAACCAGAGATTTTACATGGGCATCCAAAGTCAGACCTGAGTCAATAGTAACACCAAGGTTCCTGATAGACGGTTTGGCAAATGTAGCAAGTGGACCCAAGTTTTCCATAACACTAGGTACAAAATGTTTAGGAGCACAAACAAGGACTTCAGTCTTCTCCTCATTTAGTTGAAGAAAGTTTACAGCCATCCAACCTCTAATGTAGTCTATGCACTTATGCAAAATCTGTAGCTTGGAAACATCATGGGGCTTAAAGGAGATATATAACTGAATATCATCTGCATAGCAGTGATACGAAATGTCCTTAAAAGTGCTCAATAAGTGTTGAAGAGGAAGTAAATACAGCAAGAACAATAAAGGCCCCAAAACTGAACCTTGTGGCACACCATAGGCAAGAAAAGTAGAAGAGGAACTGTACTTAAAGGTAGCCGCAGAAAAGGATCGTTCATGCAAATAGGATTCAAACCAGGCCAAAGCAGCCCCTGATATACCCGCCCAGTGTCTCAGCCTATCTAGCAGAATATGATGGTCCACAGTATCAAAGGTGGAGGTCAGGTCCAACATCAACAGAACGGAGCATTCTCCTGCATCACATCTCATCAAAATGTCGTTGGAGACTCTAAGAAGTGTAGTTTCAGTAGAGTGAGCTCTACGAAAGCCAGATTGGAATTTATCCAGAATGCTGTATTCTAGAACAGCTATAAGCTTTTCTAAAATCTTAGCAATGAACGGTAATTTTGAAATCGGTCTGTAGCTACTAAGAAGAGAAGCATCAAGCTTAGGTTTTTTTAACAGTGGGTGAATGACAGCATCCATCCATCCATCCATCTTCATCCGCTTATCCGAGGTCGGGTCGCGGGGGTAGCAGCCTAAGCAAAGAGGTCCAGACCTCCCTCTCCCCAGCCACCTCCTCCAGCTTGTCCGGGGGAATACCAAGGCGTTCCCAGGCCAGCCGAGAGATATAATCTCTCCAGCGTGTCCTGGGTCTGCCCCGGGGCCTCCTCCCGGTGGGACATGCCTGGAACACCTCGCCCAGGAGGCGCCCAGGGGGCATCCTTGCCAGATGCCCGAACCACCTCAGCTGGCTCCTTTCGATGTGGAGCAGCAGCTGCTCTACTCTAAGCCCCTCCCGGATGGCCGAACTTCTCACCCTATCTCTAAGGGAGAGGCCAGCCACCCTTCGGAGGAAGCTCATTTCCGCCGCTTGTATCCGCGATCTCGTTCTTTCAATACCAATGACAGCATTCTTACAATAAACAGGGACCTGACCAGAAACCAGTGAGGTATTGATAATTGTGAGCACACAGGGACCAATAGACCAAAAAGACATTTTTAAATAAAAATCCAGGTAAAATATCCAGAGAGCAGGAGGACGCTTTCATCGAATTAACTAACTTGAACAGCTCTGGTAAGGACACAGGTAAAAATCTTCCTAAAATTACAGGCCTAGCTTGAGTTGGAGCAGATAAGAGAGACACAGAAGGAGAGATATTGTTCCTCACGTTACTGACATTTTCAACGAAGAAAGAAAGAAATTTTTCACAATCTTCATTTGATGAATTTGGGACAGCAGGTGGAGCAGGAGTAACAATATCACTAATGGTGTTGAATAGTACCATAGATAGAAGGTTACCTCTGCTCTTAGACACTAAGTCTGAGAAATACGCAGCCCTCGCATCTCGAAGTGAAGTGTTAAAAGGGACTAAAAGGTCCTTTAAATGAAGGAGATGGACATGTTTTCCTCCATAAACGCTCAACCTTACAGCGGCAACGCTTTGAGAGGCGAATGGTGTCATTTATCCAGGGAGACGACTTTGAAACCGGAGCTAGTCTTGTTTAGACAGGACAAACATTGTCTAAAATAGAAAGACAATGATTATTAAAAATATTTGTTAAAAAAATGAACATCGTTATAAGGAGATAAAACTAAATTAAAGGCATCGGAAAATTATCACTATACCCATACTTATTTATCCACAGGACACACAAAATGAAAAACTAGCAAGTCCCATCAGATTACACTTGCTTTCAAGCCTGCAGCATTGCAACCATTTATACAGTGAGAAGAACTATTCATCCTTCATGATCCTACAGGACAACTGGGCTTCTTGGACTGTACCGGCTCATCCATTTCTGAATCTTTCATCTTTCCGCTATTTGTTTTTTTTCCATCACTATGCCACCTCTCTATTTTCCTCATGTGCTCACAAAAGCTTTGCAGCTAGTAAATGTTTACCACTCTGCTGCCAGAGCTACAAATCCCAAAGAGACACAAGCAAGCTCCCTGTTAACTCTATTTACATAGAAAGCATTTATCTGATGTCCGTTTATGAAAGCTATATAGAAAACAGACAGCATGATTTATCTCTCACTTGCTATGTTTTCTTGTTAATTTTGCTTCATCCCCTTTCTCTTTATCCCCAGATCATCTACTGTCTGAAACTTTCTCTGGCCAGGACTCTCCAGACGTCAGTCACTTGCATAACAACAATCTGCCACCACAGAGCCGTTGTTTATCCATAGCTAAACCCGCCCAGTCCAGCCAGTCTAATCCCAGCACTAACCCACAGTCTCAATCTCAAGTCAACACTCTCCAGGCTCAAGCATCACTTGGCCCCTCCAAACGGCGACTCTCTGCCGAACGCAGTCTTTCCATAGAGGACCCACCTGCTGCCAGGGGTTCACAGGGGCCTGTTGCTGTGAAGCCAGCCAGGGTGTACACAATCACCAGGGAAGGCGGGATGACCCTCGGGGGCCGTGGCAGTGAGGAGAGCCTGGAGTTGGAGGTGCTGAAGGGCTCCCGGGAGCAGCCTCTCTCACAGAGCACTTCTGCTGCCAGTCATGGCCTATCCTGCACCAGCCAACCAACCGCCTCAGCTGCCCGTGGCAGCCATCACCGTAGCAGCCATCACCGCAGTAACCAACATCATGCCCAGCAGCATCACGGAGGCCCAACGTCATCATCGCAGCCGCTGCAGAGCTCAGGTAGCGCTGGCAACATTCGTGATTGGGGAATGAGGAGAGGTGGGTCGCGGGATGACTACACCCCAGACTGCGTTGCCTGCATTCGGGCTCCATGCCAAAGTCAGCGCTCCCTGGACCTAGATACCTCACCCCGAGATGGAGGGAAGCAACGCAAAAAACTGGAGAGAATGTACAGCGAGGACAGAGCATCTACAGATGACAGGGGTATAAAACTAAATGTGAAGGTTTAAACGAATAAACAAACTGAGCCTAAATTTAAACACGTTCTCACCATGTTTTTATTCACCTCCACTGCTATTTGTAAGGCCTGTGTTTGAATGTAATGCTCACTGACACACACCTTCCTTTTCTTATTTGTGTTTGCAGAGGACAATCCTAACAGCTGGTTCCCCAAAGAGAATATGTTCAGCTTTCAGACAGCCACCACCACCATGCAGGCGTGAGTATGGCATGGAAATCCACCTTCACTCCCACTCTGTGCATCACAGCATCTCGCTGCCATGTTGGCAGGATACGGCCCCAGTCTTTTCCTTCCAAGAGACAAATGTAACATTCTAATACAAAGTCTTAATGAGCTTTCACACCTTTATGCTCGTTGGTTTTATTAATATAGGAAGCCACTTTGACATTTTTTTTAGAAATAAGCAGTTGCCCATAGAAAAACTGGATGTTTTAGATCTGTACTGGTAGAAGCACAGTTTAGTAATTTTAACAACATGGTCCAACAAGTGTCCCAGTAAACAATGATACCAGCTGAATGGAACGCACCTGTTTCCAGTGTTGTGCATAGTACTTGTTCCTCTAAATTGAGCAGCCAAGAGTCTTTGAAATCAACACATTTAGAAAGCTGGAAATGTGTTGGTCTAGATCGTGTACGTGCCTTAACCAAGACACACATACACGCAGACACACAACTCCGTTCCAGTCTTGCTGACAGGTTAATTATCACCTATCACCCTGACCTTATAATTATGACTCTCAAACAGACAAAGCGCACCCACCATGATCTTTTTTTCCCTTCTTCTCTCCCACACTCCCTCTTTACTATCCATATGTCTCACCTTCCTTTCCCCATCTGTTTCCGACTGCCTGTGTCCGTATTAGAGTCAAACTGATATATGGGTCTGACTCTCGCTTTTGATTTAAATGGCAGGCTGAATGATGGATATATCACAGTTTAACTGACTACACATTATTGACTACACATTAAACTAAGTGTTTGGTTATAGCCAGTCCTTGAGAACCAACTGGTGAGATATTTTGGTACACTTTAGATGTACATACATGTACATATTTCATCAGTCATCATCTCCTCTTCCTCACTTCTTTCAATGTGCATGTCATATTTGAATCCCAGTCCCTGCTCACTTATTTATAGGTAGGATTCTTCCATTTTGTCTCTCCTGAAAATGAGAACTGGAACATAAATCTCACTCCAAAATTTGGGTATGTGGAGTATTTGGCTGGCCCTATTGCTAACTTCTCTTTCATTTTTGTCTCCTCTTCTTCCTCTCCACACTGTGTGGCGGCCTTCCAAACCACGACTGTAGAATATCGTGAGTAAATCTTTCAAACGCCCCCACTGTTCTTCCTTGTTGCTTTTTCTTTTTTTCTTGCTATGCCAGTTAGGTAACTCGCATTGAACTCTGTTCCTCATGTGGCTTTGTGCTAGTCAGTCTACTGTGTCCTTATTCCCCCAACCTCGATGTCTGCTGGATGGGATGTCAATATGTGGATGTAAGATTAAAGGCAAGGAAGGTTTGGTAGGAATGAAAAGTAGGTCATGCCAAGCATTATTTAAATAGCAACAATTCTTTGTTGAAATGAACTCCTTTGATATATTTCTGATAAAGACAGTGTAGCAGTGGTGACTTGACTACCAAAGTTACGTCTGAAAACTAAAACCATGAACTCAAAGCTGTTTTCTTGTGCATAAGTCTATAGATAAATCTTAGTAATGCTGTTTAACCCTCTGAGGTCTGAGTCGTACAGCAACCCTAAAAGGTCAAATGCATAGCAACTTAAGAAAACAATGGCAAATAGAAAAAAGCTGAATAAAACACATAAGAAAAAGGAAAAACACAACATAAGCTCACAAAAAAATAGCTCACAAAACACAGCGGAGGCTTTTTTGGGGAGACAATACTATAGAAAACTTGCAGAGATAAGTTAGCTATAGCTAACTAGCTATAAGCAGTGAACAGCTAATAGCAGACGTGTTTTTACAGTGTTTTATAAATCATGTGATTAAATCACACGTCACCTGCCTCTTTTGTCCCTCACAACACCAATGAAACCTTTGTTTCATTCTTGTAATGTCTCAGTGCAGTCCTTTGCACATTTTGCTTCCTGTCCCTTCCATAGCTATACTGTCACATTCATATCTCCACGAAAACACTTTGGTTGTTTTATAAGATTTTTTTTTTTTTACTCTATGAAACTACACCTGCCTCCTGCTAAAAGATAGTGTAAACTGTATTTTAGCAGGCTGTCAGCTTTTAAATATTGTGATGATGGTTTCAGAGTAAGAACCAGATTATAATGTGTGGTTTCAAAGAGGTTAAGGTGAGAACAGTTCGGTGACCCAGCTTGAGGCTTCAAAAATGGGAATTCAAAAACAAGAAGGGTTGGTGGCAACATCCAGCTAGTCTAAGAGTGGGCATTTGATTTTCCCAAGGGGTCACAATTAGGATCTACTTGTAACATCTACTATTACCATTAGTGGTTTATAAAGGGATAACATTTCCAATAAAATTACTATTGAGCATAATTGGACTGAATATATCCGTAGCAGTCCCAGTTTCTCATTTCTCTTTGGGAAAATTATTTTCCTGGCCCCGGCAATCTATGGTCACATCACTATGTTCTGCAAAAACAGTTGTCTAGTCAGTATCTAACACCATTACTTACATACAGGGGATGTGACTGTGAATCACTTATCTTTAAAGGAATTTAAAGGAATTTAATAAAGGGACATGAGCGTTTTCATACATTATGTGTTTGAACAAGCAGTAATCTAAACTGCAATGTGACCAATCAACGACCAGGTGATAATTTTAGTCTTTTTTTTTAATAAGGTTGATCACACATGTGATATCCGTTCTTGCTGGTGTCAAAAGTAGACTGTATGGCTTTACTGTAAAGAAAGATAAACAAGAGTCTCTAAGGCTTTTTGGTTGCTAATGATTCCATCTATTAAGGTAAACTGGGAACTCCTATTAAACTTAGATTACTGGACTTGGTTGATCAAATTCTGGAAACAACATTTTTCCCAAGTTTCTTGGTAAACTTTTAAGGTGACCATGCATCATGTGAGACATGATGAAATTCTAGATCATACACTTTTTCAAATGTTTGCTAACTCTCATTTGCAACTACCAATCTAGCTGTCAGCAGACATAAAGCCGCCCCCAGTACTGCTTAAGTTTCAATACTTTAATATCTTCAGATCTTTAGTATTATAACTTAGCTTCTCATATTTAACTCTCTAAGGTCTAAGTCACCATCATCAGCAAATAACCCAAACCTTAACTCAGAATATGTAGGTCACTTTTGCTTTTAGTGTTTTCACCTTTGATGGCTTAGACTTCACAGGCTTAAGCTTATGTAAACCACTGTTTGAAACTATAAAACCGCATGTGCCTACTGCCAAAGACAGTGAAAAATCTGTTTTTCTTCTTCTCTCTCTGCTGGCTGCTTGATAAATTTGGCAGAAAATTTAAAGGATTGCTTTATCGCACAATAGAGGAAGTAGGCTGTCAGCTTTTAAATATACTTGTGATAGCAGATGGTGGAAGGAGGGACAGGCTGAAGGAAACATCTCTTCCAACCTGTTTGTTTTTGCAGTGAGAAGGAACAAAACGTGAGTGAATTCACGAGGGGAAAAAATTCTGCAATAGCAATGCAGAGAGCTTTTGGATAATAATCAGACTCCAGTGAATTCAGCCTCATGTTTTGTCATCCCAGGGCTCATCAGCTGCCTGCCTGTCTGTCTGTCCGTTGGTGAAAACCAGACCGTAGGACCGGACTTTGTTTTTGACATACGCTGTCACAGATGATTCTCATTATGTCTGACGCCCTGTCAGAACCATTACTGTCCCTACTGGGAAAGGCACCTCGGTGTAGGCATACTGTTACACACTTGGCAGAATGGTTAATAATGTGTTGCAAAAATTGTGGTGCAGAAATATTTCTCAGTACATCAAAATGTGAAACAGAGGATGTCACATCTCAGCACTGGTCTGATAATCCATTTCTGAAGTTTAACTGGGTTCTCTTTCAACCTCCTACAAGTAAGGGAACACAATGAGTTTCTGTGCTATCAGGAAATAGCTAGTCTTTCCTAGAGGCTTTTCATAAAGATGAGATAAATTGGTCAGAAGACAGCCAGGGCAACAAGTTCTAAAAGTCTTGACCTTTTGAGACCTACACAAAATAATACGACCCCACCAACCAAGAAAAAAACCAATACATCCCATAATGGCTGTTGAAGCTGCACAAAAAAGAATTTAACATTCATATTTAAATGAATATAAAGTCGTCTTTTGTTCCCTCAGTGTCTTTTCCTACATTGTGGTTGTAGTTTGTGAGTGTGTGTGCGTGAGTGTACATGCAATTATCCTCAATGTCCTCTGCCTTTGGTGGATTAGATGTCCCTGTGCTGCTAACTTTAACTACTCACCAAAGCTAACTAAACTCTCACTAACCCTACTGGACTTCAAACCTCTCACCTTTGACACCTTTAGTGTCTTCCCATACCACCCTAACTAAACTTTATGCCCGAACCCAACTAGACCCTATGGGCTTTTTAGTTTCCTTTTGTTACTGTGTGGCATTTTAGTTAGTTTTGTTTATAACAAACATCAACTTAAAAGCTGCATTAATTTCTAAGCTCACCAGATATAGCAAGTAATAGTAGAGCTTTTTAGCCCTTGGGTCAGATTGGGTTCAGACAAAAAAATCCTTGGTTGCTGTCAGGCGAAGCTAAAACGAAAACCTATATTTCCAAACAAAACAACTTAATGCTTTGACGTCCCGGCAGGGCTTTCCGAGGCATTGCTGAGAGAAAGAGACGGAAAAGAGAGCAGGAGGCAGCCACCATGATGGAGAGGTACCGTGCCCTGTCCTGTCCTGTGTGGTGCTGTTATAGTTACCCTATTACCCAACAAAGAAAACAACTTCTTGAACAGGAATGCCTTTTATCCGATTTTAAAATAATTTTTTTCGTAGTCTTTTCAACCTCGTTTCTATTTATATTTCAAGTGTTGTAGACCAGGGGCCGGCAACCCTGGGCACTCATGCTGGCACGCGAAGGGTTAACTGATGGCACAACATGCACAGAGAAGGTGCATTAAAAACTAAATATCTATTACCAGTGCATATCACAAATTAGCTTGCATAGACACATCAGTTGCGCCATTTCTTAATCATTGCATCTTAGCTAACAACCCCACCCACCGAGTTCAACTTGTAATTGGCTAAAAATCACTTAGCCTACCGGCGAGAGGGATGTTGCTAACTAATCAGTCCTGTGAAATATGGCCTTGAAGCAAGCGAAAAAAAGATAATTTTATGATCTTGTATTCGCCAAATCGTCTTTTAAGACGGGGGTTTTGTTCAACAGAAAGATAGTGCTGTATGTGCTCTTTTCCTTGAGAGTGTTATTTGCCAAGTATGATCTCCAGATAAGAGAACTGGTAAAATACAAAGCAGGGGGGGATCACATTAACATGTATATCCCTGTAATAACAAGCATGTCTTATTGGCCCAGTTTATTTTTTCTTATCATTGTTATGAGGAGAGCATAAATAGCATTTGCATTTTCTGTTGTATAGTTTCTTTGCTGTTCTTGTTATGGATAAAAAGTGTTTTTTGAGTAACTGTTGCTATGCAGAGTTATTAAATTTATCGTTAATACAATGGTTATTATGGCACATTGACTTCACTGGACATGACCTGAACTATGGTGCATGCATTCTGTGATAGCAGAACTTCATTGAGAAGTTTTTGGTATGACCACACAATTTTCATTTACCAGCTGTCCTAATTGCACAACTTGTAAGTCCATTCACTTCCTCACGATGAAATGAACATTTTTCTTTTGTTTTTCAACAAACTGGAGGACAACTACTCTCTATTGCACAGTCACATTTACCAAGGAACATGATCAGACTTCTATGGCGTGACCTAAAAAAACTCTGAAAAAAGTTCAGAGTTGCAAGAGAAGATGACCTTGATGTGAGGTCAGCCACGTAAAAAGAAAATTAAAATATCTCCTAGTAATGATGAACATCTAATCATGCTTTCTGTATTAATGTTCCTGTTACTCTAATCTAGACCATCTGAATCTTGATAGGGTGATGTTTCACCATAGACTATGTCTAACCAGCGCACAGTAAACCCAGCACTCAAGTGTTTTTCCTGTTACCATATTCTGCTCTGACTGTTTGCTGGTGAACATTCACTTTGTGTATTTTGACTCTCTGCATGAGGAACTCACCGTGCCTTCCAATCCCTACCTACGGGGCAATCACATGGCTCGTAAAAGCATTCTCCGGCGCACATGTTTCTGTGTGTGTGTGTGTGTGTGTGTGTGTGTGTGTGTGTGTGTGTGTGTGTGTGTGTGTGTGTGTGTCGTGAATCGTGGAGGCTGTGGGTGGCAGGTTTAATAAATGTTCCTCACTGAACACTGAAGTGTAAAAACGGGTCTGTCAATATACTGCTGCAGCTCTGCACTCTGTGGCTGGCAGTCAAAGCCAATGAATTGATCAATATTTGGCAACGGGCCTCACATCCACCAAGGCTGAGACATTCCATATGCTGTATGAGCTTGTGTGTGTGTGTGTGTGTGTGTGTGTGTGTGCGCGTGCGTGCGTGCGTGTGTGCGTGCGTGCATACCGAGCTGTGTCACATAGAGTGCAATGCTTTTAATAGAAAGGTACATCTCAGTTAGTTTCAAAAATTAAATTATTCATGGTTTAATGAGGATAATTTTGCAAAGTGTTTTGTAAGGTCACAGAAGGAAAGCGAAGGTTAGGGGCGATTTATTTGCAGAAATATGAATTCACACATACATATACTGGCAGGAATTTGACTTTATTATCTTGGTGTGAAGGTGGTAGATTTAAAAAGCTAGTTGTCACACAGTATGAAAATACAACTCTGACTGACGGATGGGTCCCCCTCTCCTCTGAGTCATCTCTCTATTTTAGGCGCTGCCTTCACCATTCCTGCAATCAACACTGACATGTCAGGGGTGTTTTTGGATTGCCTCCAACTGTGCTCTGGATTCAAATATCTTTAAATGGTGCATGTAGGGATGTGAGCTTTGCATTTTGCTTTTGCACGTTTCTTTTTGCTATTTAGCCATGATGAAACTAGAAAATTGTGTTGGTAGTTTTTTGCTATGTTACCCCTGCATCAGATTGATGACCTGTCCGGGGTGCACCCAGTGTTGTGCAGTGCCACCAAAAACAGATACTATATGGGGCAGACAACCTTTAATAGAGGTGGGGCTTATTATAAATAATTAGCTATAGGGTTGCGACCCATTCTCATCAGTTTCCGTGAACCTTATCACAGTACCATGTGCCTCAACTACATAGAGCAGAAGAGTCCACACACTGATTTACCCGTTCATCCTATTTTTGATGTGATTTTTTCAGAAAGCTAGATAGGCAACCTTAGCTACCCAACAGCGAGGAAGACAAAATAGACACACAAAACAAAATATAATCTATGGCTTAACCTCTAGGAAGTAGAAGCAAACCAATGCCACAAACAAAACCACAAAGTTATCCTTTGAGAATATGGTTAAGTTTAGGCTGTTGCCTAAACTTAACCATATTCTCAAAAGATAACTTTGTGGTTTTGTAAGCATAAAGGCCTTTAAACACTGAGCACATTGCAGAAAATTAAAAAGATTCACAATAATTAAGACATGATTGAAAAATTTATTCTCACAAAATGCACTACAAAAAAATAAATAAATAAATAAATAAATAAATAAATAAATAAATAAATATATATATATATATATATATATATATATATATATATATATATATATATATATATATATACACACACACACAAATACTGGTGGCCACCAATGCTCACCCTCAACCTGGTATAAATATGAAAATCCTAAGTGACTTCCTTCTTGAGTTATGCCATTCATAAGATTTTCACAAAACTTGACCTCTAAGCTTGATCTTGAGGTGGAGGTGACTGTGATTTGAACTCCTCCAAGATTTTTAGTAGATGCACTTATGGTGTCAGTTTGAACCCTTTATGTCACATTGTTGGAGTCAAAAATGGAGTCAACATCAAGTGATTATGAGAATGTTGTAATGTTTCTAAACAAGTGAAGGAAGAAACAGAGATTCTGGGTTCATTCAGTTCTCACGAGAACAAAGCAGCAGGGAGAATTTCATGGAATCTGGAAAACTTTTGTACATATTTCAGGATGTCAGTGGGACAGTTTGATCCCATCTGATTTTCATTGAATTTATCTCAATTTTTTATTTATTTTCATAAAAAAGACTTTTATATACCTTTATACTATACTTAGCATGCATGTGTTAGGACTATAGGAGGAAGTCAGAGTAACCAGAGGGAATCCACATAAGCACGAAGAAGAATAGACATGAGTCTAAGCCCCAAGAAGCTCAGCTGCATATCTGCAGTGGATAAGACGTGCAAAAACAATACAATCTATATTGTACTAAAATGAAGCAGACTTGCAAAAGTCTGCTTCATTTTAATAAAATAACTTTTCTTTACCATTTTATCATGTATCCAAAGAAAACTGTGATGATTTTTCTAAACTGTGAAAAATAAACAACAAACTGCAGACTTTGTTTACTGTTTTGAGCTTTTGAGTTCGGACATCTGCCATGAACTGGAATGGTTCACCTCAAACACCAGCTCACTGTCAGTGAAGTATGTAGTACACAAAGGTAATTGTGATTATTAACCATGGTGAACTGATGAAGCTTTTGGACATTTGTAATTTTCAATGGTAGCTTGAAAGTTGGGGAGTGGCTGTAGCTCAGAGGGTAGAGCAGGTCTCTACTAATTGGAAGGTTGGTGGTTTGATCCCTGGATGCAAGATACTGAACCCCAAGTAGATCTCTGATGCATCCATTGGAGTGTGAATGTTGGATAGAAAACACTGAAATAAGGGGAAAAGTGCTTGTGTGAACGAGACATGTTGTATAAAGCACTTTGGCTGCTCGGGTAGAGTAGAAAGGCCCTATATAAAGAGCCAATCCTTTTACGTTATAAAATATACTGTTAAAACCCTGGTCCTCTATTCCCGATTAACATCCACTTTTTTGTTGTTGGGGATTTTTTTTAAATGATTTTCTATTTGAGTGGCTAAAACAGGTGACAATTCTATGAAATGTTTTGATGTTAAGCACCCCACTTCCTAACCCTAGATGAATTTCAGTCCATATGCACAAAACACCCACTGGATATTTAGATGTGATCACTGGTAATTTATCAGTAGCCTGACCCTAATCAAGATGCCCCATCATCTTCTGCTCTGCTCTTCTCTATGTATGTTTTTAAGTTTGAAGCATTTTCTCTCTTATTTTTTTTATATTCTTAATATGCTTCGTCTTCTTCTTTTTTTCTCTAAATTGATAGAAATTTTCGCAAGCACCTTCGGATGGTGGGCAGTCGCAGGATGAAGGCCCAGAGTGAGTCTTTGCATTTGTTTCTGTTGGCATGTGTGTGCATTGTCAAAACACTACCATGCATTCATGCTCTCGAGTGTGTACCATGACATCACAGTGGATGTTCATTTGATGTTTTTCATGCTTTATGCACGTAGCATCAGTAGTGTGGACGTGTGTATATATTTTGTTAGAGTATACTAAACATTATTCCTTAAACTGCTAGTTGATGGTAATTTTATCGCTATGCGGTGTTTAGACGGTCTTTGTATTTGTTCATTGTTGTGAGACTTGTACCATTTGTATGATATTGATTGTGCACTATATTGAACTGAAAGGCAATTTCTGTTTAACAAGACAGAATCCCAGCTAGTTTACGTGTGGTGTTTGTTTAGCTGTGCAGTTCTGAGTATGTGCTATTTTTGAAATATCTGATATGTTTTTTTTTCTTTTTTAATGTGTAAAGTATTTCCTCTGAATATATTCACATTGTTATTTGACATTAAGGGAAAAAAGCGTCCTTGGTTTGAACTCCCACCAGGCTAATCTCAAGACTCTGATGATGAGATTTTATACATTTTTATTACAAATGGTTTAAATATTTACAAAATACAAACATAAAGCAAAACAAAACAAAATACAGCTGTAATGCTTTAATAATTTAAAGATACTTGTGTTTTGGGTATGTTCATAGAAAATCTGTGAAATAAATGCTAAAAAACAGTTAATAATCATTTTGTATCTGATGAAGGTCAGTTGCACTGAAACAGCACGATTCAGTGAAATGGTGTTAAGTAAGAAAGTGTGTGGTGGAGGTTATATTTCTTTTTAACCCTTTTCTACCTTCTACACACCTATCAGGTGTGCAGAGAGTCTGAACTACTTAAAAATACTGATAAAAGAAATCAATATGTATTAAATTGTATATAATGATATCTATAAATTAAAAGTGCATTACTGCAATTTCGTTTAAACAACTTTTTTAATTTTAATGACTTTTTTATCTTGGAATCATTAAGACAACAGAAAAACTGAAAAATGATCAACCATTTGCTAATACAATGTAAACTCTTACTGTTCTGTTAATATGAAGCAACATGACCTGATATCCAACCGGGACAATGGAATTGACTGATTCACAAGCTAGGTCAATAAGACAGAGCTCTTGATTACTGGGTTTGATTATCCTTTGGAGACTGTATATATGTGTGCGTGTGAGTCATTCTCTGCCTCCCCCCAACTTCATCAGCCTTCGTCGATCGTCGAGCCAAGAGCTTCAGCCGCTCGTGGAGTGACCCCACCCCCGTCAAGCCTGAGTCACTGCATGAATCCAGAGACAGTGAGTCCATGCTCTCTTAGTTATTCACAAGCAAACACACGGTATACAATATATACCTTAGGCCTTTCTTAAACTTGGCTTCTTACACATGTATGTATAAACACCTACAGGTAAGCACACAGACAACTGCACTCAAGCATAATAAGGCTGCACACACATTAAAACAAGAACAAACACTGATTGACAGGTGCCCTGTCACGCAAACATGCTGTCTCTTTTTATTTTATATTGCCATTTTTAAAGTATGCTTTATTCTGCGTACCACTACTCAACTGTTACCATCCATCCGCACAGCTCTACTCATCCTGCGGCCTGTCGTCCATCTGCCTGTTGTTTTGTGTTGTATCTGTCTGTATCTGGCTGGGCAGATAAGGAGCCTGTTATTGTGTCCTTTTGTGTCGTGTGCCGTTTGTTTTTAACTCCTCCATTTCTCCCCTCTGTGCTGGGAAAAGAAAATAACAGGTGCAGCGTTTTCAAATGGAGCACTAATCTTGTTTGTGTATTATCCTTTCATCTCGCCCTTTGTTCCCATGTGTGAACCAGGTGGCGAGCTTCAGACCTCCTCAGGGACGCTGGATGAAGGGCTGGACGAGGATGCCGACTGGGAGGAGGAGAGGGAAATGGAAAGAGTGGCCTGCGACGGAGAAGACTTTATCCCTCCCAAAATCATGGTGAAGTTCCTGGCAATTAAATTAACATATAGATTAATGAAGTTTGAATATATGTGCAATCAAAGTCTATCTGCATGCTTTTCTTCTCTCCATAGCTGATATCTTCCAAGGTCCCAAAGGCTGAATATGTTCCCAACATAATTCGTAGGGACGACCCCTCCATCATCCCCATCCTTTATGTGAGTATCTGCTAGTGAGTTTCCACTACATATAGATTTTGATTGACTGGTAGATTTTTTTATTTGGTGTTGTTTCTTGATGAGATGCCACAGGAGCTGATGGATAAGTGTTAAGATTGACTTTTTTTTAATCTTGTCCCTGGCAGGTTGTTGGGTTTTTAAAGCAAGCCAGCCAACATAAATTTGGCTGAAATACAAATGGTTGGAGCCTTTAAATAAGTGTTTTAACTTCTCTGTGCAATCTGTGCTGAGAGTGGTCTGTTTAGTAAAACCATCTCATCTTTTTCGAATACGCTGCATGCAACAGTGACATCTGTTAGTACCATTAGATGAAGTCAGGTGACAACATTACTAGAATTCTGTGGGTACCTTGAAAATCTGTATTAAATTTCATACAAATCCATTTGTGGATAAAACTGACATTTTAGTCAATTTAGAAACTTTAATGACTTTTTTAAAACTTCCAGTAGCTTCTAGTTTGAAAGTTAAAAGCAAAGATCAAATGGAAGCTCAGTAAATGATTCGTTCAGTCAAGTGCTCAGAGTTCATTTTTGTTCGAGTGTAGAAAAGCACCGTCAATCATCCACTTGAAGTGACATGTCTCCTCAGCAAAATACAGACTCATCACAGCCTGGCTTTGAGGTTCTGCTAAGTGGCACCATGTTGTTTGTCTGCTCAGATGAAAATATAAAGGCACTCCTTTGCTGTGTACCAGCTGGCATTTTCCAGTAAAGAGAATTATACGACGGAAAGTGCAGCGTTCTTTCAAGTACTGCCAAAATACAAATGTCTTCTTTTTTTTGGTTCTAAATGACAGTTCATTATAGAACCATGGTTTCCCGACCTTTCTAGCAACACTAAAGAGTCCATTTGGTTTTCTGTTTTCTGCTGAAACATCTCGGTGACTGCTGGTCAGGTTGCTGTGGAATTTTCCATGAAAATTTATGTTCCTATCTCGGTAAATTTCAATATGTTGGCTTTTCCTTTTTTAGCAGTATCAAGTCATTTTATTTTGTCCACTGTTCTGGTTTATTAACTTATTTATTACGTTATCCATATGCCCCAAACAACTAGAGCTAATTAGCAAATATTCATATGCTACCACACTAAAATAAGACCATGAATTCTCCTGACTAAACCATTAGATTTATTTCATTTGTTTGTTTGTTAAATTCTATTAGAGAGAGATTAGTTGAGTTTTAATTTTAAGATAGGTACTGTGTTAAATATTGATATGAGTTAGCATTTAGCCTATCCTCAAACTACATGACAGTTAACTAAAAGAAATCAAGTAAGACAGTGAGACATGCATTGCTCTTGTAGTGCAGTGTCAACCTTACAAAAATATTTCCAGTTGTATCAAAATCTTTAGGAAATTGGCTCCTCAGCTGCCTTACTCTTTGACTTCAGGAAACCCTTTTCTGATGAGTTCATGGCAGAGGTGTGGACTCGAGTCACATGACTTGGACTCGAGTCAGACTCGAGTCATTAATTTTATGACTTTAGACTTGACTTGAAAAAATGTTCTAAGACTTGTGACTTGACTTGGACTTTTACACCAATGACCTGGGACTTGAATTGGACTTGAACCGGTTTACTTGAAAAGACTTGATATTTTACCCCAAATATAAAATTTAACATGCATATTATATAGAGATTGAAAATGTGACGTCATTCACGGGTAGAACCGCAAAGGATTCTGGGAACTCGTGGCAAGAGGTACTAGCACACGCAGGGTTTCAATTGAAATCAGTTATACAGCGATAAAAAGAAACACAAAAATGGCAAGAAGCTGTTGTATTATTAACTGCAATAGACGGTCGCATGACAGCCACGGGAAGCCGACGGGTAAAGAGATCGGTTGTTATCGGATTACGTCGTTGAAGAGAAATTGTTCGAGCCATGTTTCCGAAGTAACAAAGAGGCGACTGGATTGCAGCCATTCAAAGATCAAATATAACGTCCCAGAACCCTCCAGCTCACAGGTTAGTCTGCTCAAGCATTTACACGAAGGTCAGTCTGCTGTTGTAGTTAATACGTCATTTTCATAACATAATTGGTGATATAGGTTACAAGCAAGTCTGGCGCTGAACAGAAATTGTCACGCTATGCTCCTTTGTTTATTGTGCATAAATAGTGAATTGTCCTGACATAATATTGCGTTTCGCTTCTGTTATTACCATGGTACATTGACAAAAACATACTTTTATTCACAGGGTAAAACAGTTGTTTTGTATCACTAATTGCCCAGTACGATTACAGCATACAATATTATTGTCACTGCTACATTTCTGTGATGCTACCAGAAATTATTTCCACTGCTAATTAATTACCATTGAGCTCAAAGGTCCTATTAATAAACGGTTAACGAATGTGTATTTATGAAGACGATTTGTGAGACTGGTAAACTTATGATATGTACGATGGTCTTTCGTTCTACACGGTGCATTTCAAGGTCCTGTACCCATCCGGCGGTAAACTGTACCTGGGCTTGTTGCAGTGACCTGAAGTTACTAAACTTCACGAGTGTATGCACTCACTCCAAGAACCGTATAATTATAAATATGCATATAAATATGCTAGGATGAGATAGCTGACTTCATCTAACTAGCAAATGTTTTCCAGGCTACGTTGGTGATGCAGTTTTTTTTTAATGTGTATGATATTTTTGTCATGCGATTTTAAAGCCGGTCCTACAAGCGCATCCAAGAATAACATGCAGCTTATCTCAGAACTGTCGGTGAAAATTATTCTTGGAGCTAGGTTTAATTGAGCTGCATTTTAAAGAGGTGCAATTTCACAATTTGTGTATATTTTCTACGTTCACTATTTTGTCATGTGTTGAGAAAAACACAGATTTAAAAATTACATGGTCTAATATTTACATTTAGCATATAACTGCAACCCGGCCCGGCCCTAACCAATCTGGCGCCCTAGGCAAGATTTTAGGTGGTGCCCCCCTACATCGGCAGTGTAGTGTATGTACTCACAAGAAACCGAATAGCTTTGTCTTTGACCTTTTTTTTTTTACTTAAAGAAAGCAAATTCACAATCAGAATAATTAACAAGATAAAAAAATATATATGAATAAATAAATGAATACAAAAAATAAAAAATGAATATATGAAATACAATAAATTTCATTTCATTTATTTATTTTTTTCACACTTGGTACAACAGATCATACAAACCAACCACACTTTCTATCAATAAAGCACTACAACCATGTGTGAAAAGGAGCAGGAAGAAGAAAATATTCTTATTAAACCCCGCCCCCTTATCTACATTCCAACTTATATTACAAGTGGGCACCAAAAATCAGGGAACAAACTAATATTAACATTTCTCTCCGGTCCTAACCCAAACCAAACAACAAATATACCACTCCACATAGTAACAAGGAGAAAAATAAAATTAAATAAATAAAACAAAAAATTATAATGGATCCATTTTCAATGAACTCCAATTTCATTCGCATTCTTCATATTGAGTTATCGTTTTAAGCATGTAACACTTTTTAAAACAATGTAAACTTATACAATTCTTTAAATTATAATGAAGAGAGTTCCACAGTCTTATACCCCTAACTGTTGTACTCATTAATCTTTGTGTAGTCCTAGCTAACTGATGCTTAAAATGAAATTTCCTTCTGCTATCTTCTCCCCCTGAACACATTAAAAATACTCTTTGTAACTTAAAGGGCAAAATATTATTTTTAGCCTTAAACATAATTAATAGTGTCCGTAATTTCACTAAATCTCCTAATTTTAATCATTTTGATTTTATAAATAATTTATTTGTATGTTCTCTATATTTAATGTTATGAATCATTCGTATCACTTTCTTCTGTAATAAGTTTAGAGGTTTTATAGTATTCTCATATGTATTCCCCCAAACTTCAACACAGTAACTAAAATATGAGAAAAACAATGAAAAATATAAAATGCGCATTGTTTTATGATCTAATAAATCTCTTAAATTTCCCAAAATATAAATGCTTTTGACCATCTTCTTTCTAATATACTCAATATGAGATTTCCATGTCAAATTTTCATCTACTATTACACCCAAAAAACGAAATTTCTCCTCCTCTTCTTTTCTCTTTTTTCTTCCCTGGGCACCTGACAGTTTTGGCCGTTTTGACACCTTGTGTTGATTTTTTGATGTGGTGACGTCCAAAAGGAACCATGATACGGGAAGGGAGGGGGCGCACCGTGCGGGGAGGGGGGGGCGTAATGTTGTAACAAATAATATTTCTATTAAATAAGCTTTACTTTGCATTTTAATTAACGTGGGATTATTTTTTGTATTTAGAAATAATAGTACCAGCTTTTTTTTTTTTTTTCAATGATGGACGGCGCCCTTAGCATTTGCCTATACGGCCTATGCCACGGGCCGGCCCTGACTGCAACATTCTTTTTTTTCGTTTTTTTTTTTTTAAAGACTCGAAAGGACTTGAAATTCAAAATTTCAGACTTGTGACTTTACTCGGACTTTTACACCAGTGACTTGAGACTCGACTCTGACTTGCCTGACATTGCAGGTGAAGGGAGCATGCATGTGCATGTGACAAATAAAGAACCTTGAACCTTGAAGCCTTCATTCTGAAGAAGGAGTCCCTTGGAAGGTGGTCTCAAAATGTCAACGCTGCTCTTTAAAGATGATGAGGTTTGGTTGGCTTCATCAGGTGGTGGCCTCCAGCTCAGACTGGAGAATCTTGAATGTAAAGCGACAAGAATGAGAATTCTGAGGCCATGGCCATTAGCCGGAAAAGGGTGAGAGTCCACTCTGGGTCAGGTACGAGTTACTGTCCCAAGTGGATGAGTTTAAGTATCTTGTGCCGGTCCATTGTAATGAAGAGAGAGCAAGGATAAAAGTGAAGCTCTTGGTTTACTAGTCGATCTACGTCCTTACCCTCATCTATGGTCACAACATTTGGGTGGTGACCGAAAGAATGAGATCACGGATACAAGTGATGGAAATGCGCTTTCTCCGAAGGGTGGCTAGCCTCTCCCTTAGATATAGGGTGAGGGGTTTGGCCAACCAGTAGGGGCTCAGAGTAGAGCCGTTACTCCTCCTCATCAAAAGGAGCCAGTTGAGATGGTTCGGGGATCTTGGGTGGGTGCCTCTTGGGTGAGGTGTTCTGGGCATGTCCCACCAGGAGGAGGCCCCGGGGCAGACCCAGGACACACTGGAGAGATTATATCTCTCAGCTGGCCTGGGAACGCCTTGGTGTTCCCTCGGACAAGCTGAAGGAAGTGGCCAGGGAGAGGAAGGCCTGGTCTTCTCATCTTGGGCTCTTGCCCCTGTGACCCGGGTGGATAGATAATAGCAAAGATACAGCAACAGCTAACTAATCAGAAACAAATCTCACTCAGTGGTTTGAAAAGATAGAAGAAGTTAGCCTAAAATATCATCATTAACTTATATTATTGTGTACTGTAAATTTGATTGGTATTTTTATCATTAACAACTTATTATTCTCCAGGTTTACTGTTTGGTGGGGTCCTTACCTGAGGAACTTTTGCGCTGCTGTACAGAATAGAGACTCTATTAGGTGTTAAAGTGTATCATGTTGTAATCTGTTAGAGTCAGCACTCAGAAAAAAGCTTGTTGTCCTTTTAGATTCAGTTTTTGAATGAATAATTTTGTTTTTCTCCATTTTATTTAAAGGACCATGAACATGCCACATTTGATGACATTCTGGGTGAGTGCAATACTTGTTTTCTTTTTTAATTTTAGACCTCAAGTGAAAATTACTCTGCGTAAATGTGGACAGGATGAGGGTGGAATAAGTTTCATCTTGCTGGAGTGCACAGATGACTCATTGTTTTTCTACTCCCCTGTGTGTGTGTGTGTGTGTGTGTGTGTGTGTGTGTGTGTGTGTGTGTGTGTGTGTGTGTGTGTGTGTGTGTGTGTGTGTGTGTGTGTGTGTCTCAAGGGACAGCCAATTTGTGTGTGTCACCATTATGGCTGAGTGGGAAAAGTGACACCTCTCTTTCTCTCTCACCCAGAGGAGATCGAGAAGAAGCTGACTGCCTACAGGAAAGGCTGTAAAATCTGGAACATGCTCATTTTCTGCCAGGTGAGTGAAAACGAAGACAGAGTATGAAAATATTTTGACATCATTGTGTCACATGTCCCTTTAAAATAGCATTCTATTAAGTCACAATAGTCCTCTAACCACTAATTACAAACTGACTGATAAGTGATATCCCTGAATGAAATTATTAGTGTGTGTATTCTCTTCATCACATCAATTAATAGTGGTTATATAGTACTGTCCAGACAGGATTTTAATGCACATAATTTAGCCTTTTCAGATTTTTTTTTGGGATCAGAATTCCAACAAAATTTTCAAATACAGGTAATACTCGGAAGCTGAGGGATAGCACCACAGTCTGCCACTTGTCAATTTTTTTCTTTGTTTTTTTTAAGGACATTGAACACTATGGTGAGATATTCAATGTTTTTATGTCTTTGTATTGTTGTTGCAACAGTACTATTTTATGTCAGTTGACCTGTGGTATCTTTGACATTTTTCAAAGATTTATCTAAAAAAAAAAAAAAAGATTTGTTTTTGCAAAAAGGCTGCTAACTTTGAATAATCTTCAGAAAACCTGGAGAGCCTGTCTTCTAGAACAATTTAAAAAGCCTGTTTGCTTTGAAGATAAGTATGAAGAAATGAGGAGCTGCTCAAGACATTTTCACAGTTTTGTGTATGCGATGGAATAACCCCATCAGTTTTCAAGTCTACAGCGTACGGTACAACGTTGTCTATCATAACACAGACACCTTTCTGCAGGGAGGTCCGGGACATTTATACCTGCTGAAGAATAAAGTGGCAACCTTTGCCAAGGTGGAGAAAGAAGAAGATATGATCCAGTAAGTCTCGCCTGAGGGAAGGATATATGTTTTTTTGTAAAGTACGGGTGAAGAAACAAACAGTGAGTTTATGAAAAGAAATGGAAAAAAGAGACAGAATTCACTCCAGTGCATTAATATTAATTTTACATTCGTAGCAAAAGAGTAAAGTTATAGGTTATAACTTATAGGTCATAAGTCAAGCGTTTATTGTTCATCATAACATAACATAAAGAATTTTTTTTACATTTTGTACATGGTTTAATTTAAATGGGTTCTGCTCCTCTCATTGTGAATATAATTAATACAGCTGTGGAAATGTCCACAGCAAAACCAAGAGGAAAATTCTTCAAAGGATAATGTGGTTAAATTCGCAACTGCCAAATTCAAATGAACACAAAACAACAGAAGATCTGTGTCAGCTCAGATGAGTACAGTCTGATTCGCAAAGAGGGATGCTCATAGTCAAGACTGCGGTCCTTGCTGTGGTCTGAAAATATTCATTTCAAATGGCATTTGAAATTTGAACTTGAAAGAAAATACTCTGATTTGCATCTGCTGTTACAAACTTAATCATTACTTGGAGTATTGAACCATCAAGAGGCCTGGGACCAGAAAATATTGGAACAGACATCAATAAAAATAAAATATATAAAGTGCATTAGAGTTATTCCAGGCCACATGCAGTTTGCATTAATAGTGGTTTAATGAAACAAATTAACTTTTCATTCCCACTTTTCTTTTTAATTTGCTCACACACACACCAGTATATTTTCATGTGTGAGCTGAGATTCTGCTCCTGATCTCTATTGGACTTTGAAGGGTTTTTTTGTTTTGTTTTGTTTTTTTTGCAGTTACAAGATAACACGGCAGGCAAATACGACTGAAACAGGAACAAACGTTTTGTCCTTAGATTGAGTATTTTAGCTATCTGTTATCTAACTTTTAAATATTTAAGACTGTTATTTAAATATATGATGACTGTTTTTCATGTAAACCCACTTTGAAAACCTTAACCATAGGCAGACACCTCAACTTCTTGCTTCTTCGTTTTAGCAGGGTCCTTCAGCTTTGCAGTAATCTGTTTTAGATAGTATTATGCAAAAGAAAGTTTAAGTAGTCTTAATGTGCACCACGGTTGACTACTGTGGAGGTGACTGTCTTTAAAGGTATGGGGTCTGATAGGGTGTAATACATGCATTCTTGAGTGCACTTGTAGTTTTAAGCTTTTAGCTTAACCTTAAAACCACCCAAGTGGGTGGAATCCCAATTTGGTGACATTGTCATTAACATTGTACTACCAAAATACGGTACCTAAAGCACCATAATATTTGGTCTTTATAAGGGAAGTCTAGTTTGAGTCTGTGTTATGCTGAGAGCTGGTCAGCTTACTGATTACAGGTTTTTATTTGTAACACAGGTCTAGTCAGTGTTGCTCACTATTGACAGACCATAAGCATCAAATCTGCATTATAATAGAAAAAAATCACACAGGCTATTGAAAGCAAAAAAAAGAGTTACTTCTTAATCTGCAAGCTAATCTGTTTAAACACTGGCAATAAATAGTATTTTATCGTAACCTTAACCCTTACTTATGCTGATTGTCGTCACCTCTCACCTCTCCTGTGTGACCAGGTTCTGGCGGCGACTCAGCAGGCTGATGAGCAAGCTGAACCCAGAGCCCAACCTCATCCACATTATGGGCTGCTATGTGCTGGGAAGTGCTAATGGAGAAAAGGTAGCTGTCTTTGCTTGTATCCTCGAGAACAAGTAAGAGCCCCATAGTCCGCTACTCAGTGCAAAAGTGGACCAAAACTGTCTGCATGCATATGCAGCATGCTTAGTTGATACCACAGATATGCACGCACACGCACTCCCAGCCAGATACTGTCTATAGGCACATGCAGAGAAATTATGTTTTTTGTTTTCTTACTTCTTGATTTCACAGCTTCTCACAATGTCTAATGAGGTCACTGCAGGAAAGTTTTTGCACATGAACAGCAAATAGGAATTTTAGATGCAAAGGAATAAATTCCAACTTTACCATCACCCCCCAGCTTGCTCATCCAGATCTCATTCTACTACACAGCATAAATGTGTGTGTGTGTGTGTGTGTGTGTGTGTGTGTGTGTGTGTGTGTGTGTGTGTGTGTGTGTGTGTGTGTGTGTGTGTGTGAGAGAGAGAGAGAGAGAGTGCGTGCTTGGTGGGGTAAAGAAAGCATACACAGCACTTTGGAATGACAGGAAAATAAAATCTTTTGACACCTACTTAATTACACTGCACGCACTACACTGATACACTTTTTTCACATCAGTACCTAAACATTGACCTGCCCCAACCCTCCTATCCCCCACAGAGACAGGCAGACACTTACCATATGCAGATACAATCGCATGGAGCATATGCACATGAAACGTGCTCACACACTAAAATATTCAGCAAACCCATCTCCACATGCCGATTACTGTGGCATTTGCTTACTGCAGTATTCTTTTGCCCCATGGTAGTAAAAACTCATAAAGGCAATTGTTTCCTCACTGCACAAATATGAGCTGAAATGAACACTTACCTTAAATGATCTTAAATCTAGTGTTCAAAAACTGTGTGAAACTGTGATGGGAGTGGAACCAAGTAACTGCAGAAATTATAAAACTTATTATGGTGGCATATTATGGTGAAATTTATAAATAATTTCAAGTGCATTAAGACAATACACATATTGATGAATGATGATATTTTGTACATATTGCAAAAACAAAATGGACTTTTTACTTTTTACTTAAGCTTAATCATAACTTAATTAAAAACTAAATGGCAGCTTTATAGCAGTGACTCTGTGACACTGATGTTATTGCATATGACATTTGAAGGAGGTTACAGCTTCTCTATCTCTCCCCTGAGATATTTTGTATAGCATGCAGCTATTTTTCAACTCTTCAGTAAAATCATGAGTGACAAATGAGCCACTTGATTATGGTACTTCAACATTTCTTTTGTAAATCTGTTTCCATTTAACTGTGTCACACAGCCAAGAAGTTGAAAACCATACAGCTTTTTAAAATTTAAATTCCTACTTGTATTATTCTTGTATTATTCTCTAACAATGAGAAACAACACCGAGAAGTATCTTTGTGCAAGGTGGATAATGTTGAGCACTGCAAGAGTTACAAAGTGACCTCCAGCATGCCACTGGTGTGAATGCCTCTGACACTTCATGAGGGTGGTCTAAGGATCCAACATCCTTTAGTGAGTCCTGTGCTCACTGCCTGGCACCTTGGAGCCCGTGTGAAAGTGAGGAGGAGCCGGGAAAACGTTATGCCAGTAATGACATCATTCAGCATGACCAATATGGTAGTGGGTCAGTGACGGCCTGTAGAGGCATATCCACAGAGGGATGCACAGATCTCTGCAGGCAACAGCACCAACTGCTATTAGGTATCGGATCATACCTAATGGCAGGTAGGACCCATTGTCAGACCCTGCTGTAGTACAGTGGGTCCTGGGTTCCTCCTGGTACGTGACTGCCCAGCCTCATGTGGCAATAGTATGCAAGCAATTTCTGGAGGATTTTTGGGGCGTCTTTGAGTTCAGCTCTCTGTAGGTTGACCATTTTATTTTCTATCAAGCGATGTGGCATCCTTTCAACCCATTTAACACATTTCCCAGTCCATATCGGTGTTTCTATCCAGCATGATGTTTTCCCCTTTGAGATCTGATGTGTTTTCTAAGTTTCAACAGTGTCGACATTTTGAGCCTCAGAGTCTTGAAGCATAAAGTGAAACCATCCTGAGTGGAGTTCTGTGAGCCTGCGAGCCATTAATCTCCATCCACTCTTGATTTATTTTATGGAAATCACAACAACATGTTAGCGCTAATTGGAAAGTAATGCATAATGCTTCAAAATGCAGCTTCTGACATATTTATTGGAATCATTGTTTAATTGTGTGTTGGATGTGTACCTTCTAGAACATCCAGCAGCGTACTATAACACTCCCTCTGACATTTGGCTTCTCATTCACGGTGATTCAGTTCAAAGACAAAGAGGGTGGGCTTGGCGTGCGGTGGCAAGGAAGGGCTTATTCGCTGCATTTAACAATTTTCCCCCTGCTGCTGCCTGTGTGTGCTCCTACAGGCTCAGCTGGAGAGCCACTATTAATAGACTGACTGACGGAGCTGAGCTGAGAAGATGCTCCACCCCACTCATCAGTCCTTATAGCTCTACTATTCTGTTATCAGCCATCTTATTTAAGGGTTTCCAAAGCCAATCCGTAGAGATCGTATTAATTCTCCTCCTTTAGGAAGATTTTAAAGAGTTAGATTTTACCTGAAATTCTGTTTTCATGTTACTTAACAGCTTACAAACCATACACAATGTCAGACAAATTATGTCATCACTTTACAACACCATACTTTAACTTAGAATTATAGAAAGAAAGCCAATCAGCTATGGCGAGTACATACATTGCAAGTGATAGGACAGCAAACAATAGTGTGCTAAAGAAGACATTATTTTTACTAATGGGCGATCACAGTATGGATCGATCTGCATGCTTGACAGAGTTTGGCCTCCATGACACAATTATCCCATTAATCCAGGCCTGGGAGTAGTACTAAGTATATAGGATAGGTTTGTGTCTCCTCCCAGTCTCAAATTGGGGATTTGAGACTGGGAAATGAGTTAACCACTAAACCAGGGTGCCACTACATAAGCAATAGTACATGAAATTGCTTTTTTTTCACAACATAAGCCTGACCCACATAGTATTAAAGGGATTTTTTTTTTCAGTTCAAACTGACCTTACCAAGCATCAATATGAAATGGGTTTATGGTGATGACTGGTTGCCAAAACAAGCCTGACCCAGTGAGGTATAGACTCAACTGAAACACAACAAACATTAGCTACATTTAAAAAAAAATAAAAAAGAAGTCTGTTTTATATGTTTTCCAAAATAGGGTTAGAGTTAGGATTAATCCAAATTTTTATCGAACCTCTAGCAGCAGCATTTAGACAGGCTACAACAATTAAGGGCATAAAATGTAAGAACATAGAACATAAAATCAGTCTCTATGCGGATGATGTGTTGCTTTTTCTGCAAAACACACAAAACAACCTCTCTGAGGTAATTACTCTAATAAACTGGTTTTCAAGAGTTTCAGATTATTCAATTAACTGGCCAAAATCTACAGTTCTCCCCATTAACTGCTCCTTCCATAATTCTTCCTCTGCCCCACTGCAATCCGGAAATATTAAATATTTAGGTATTAATGTTTCTCCTAAGCTTTCAGACTTAACTAAATTAAATCACATCCCACTTCTAAAGAAAGTAGAAGGCGATCTGACTAGATGGAAATCTTTACCCATATCACTCATGGGAAGGGTCGCCACTATAAAAATGATGATCTTGCCAAAAATAAATTACTTATTTTTGATGATCCCTAACAAACCATCACAAGATTGGTTCAGATCTCTGGATTCATATATTTCCAAATTCCTTTGGAAAGATAAACCCCCGCGCATCAGCTTAAAAACGCTACAAAGAACCAAGGATAGAGGAGGATTAGATCTGCCTAATTTTCACCAATACTTCTTAGCCAACAGGCTTCAGTTCATCTCAGAATGGTCAAAACATACCTTCCTAGATGAACCTTGGCTAGATGTTGAACAGGCACTATGCAAGGATCTAGAGATTTCAGACCTACCATTTATTAGCTCAAACATCAAAAAACATGAATGCTTTAAAAGTATCAACATCAGCTTCTCTCTGACAGCATGGTGGGAGTATCTAAAAATAACGGCGTCTTCACTAATCCCATGCAAACGTACTCCTATCTGGAATAACCCTGACATATTACAAAACAATAATATGATTAACTTCCCAGAATGGAGTTGTAAAGGAATTAAATACTTAGAACATATATTGGAGGGAACAGAATTGATCCCATTCGACAGACTAGTTGCACAATATGGGATCAACAAGAAAAATTTTTTAGAATATCAACAAATTAAATCCATAATAAAAAAGAAATTTAACCTCAGTCAAGTTGAATTACAAATACCACCAAGTGCGGCACATTTCCTTACTCTTAAATCCCCCAAATTATTATCTAAAATATATAGAACATTCTCTAAATTAGATGAATCAATATCCCTTCCTATTGCAAAGTGGGAAGCAGATTTATCAGTCAGTTTAGACCAAAACTTCTGGTCTCAGGTATGCTTAAAAACTTTTAAATTGATTAAAAATCCCAGTCTGCAATTAATACAATACAAAATACTACATAGAGTGCACTATACAGGTCATCGGATGTTCAAGATGGGCTTTACATCTTCCAACAACTGCTCACACTGTCAAAATAATACACCAGACAATTACATCCACGCTCTTTGGTTCTGTCCACCAGTGCAGAAGTTTTGGCACGAGATATGTGAAGACTTATCAAAGTGTCTGAAATGTAACATTATAGTTTGGTCCCGCCTTCAATGTTGTGATTGGTGTGGGGGCAGGGACAGGCTTAGGGCGTCGGGGGGTTCCCCGGAGGCATCTTCCTTGGGGGGCTCAACCCGGGGTAGCGGTCATGTCCGGTTGGGGGCCTTTTTCTGACCATTTCCTCGTGGCTGCGTGCAGCGGGGCTAGGGGAGGGTCTGTGGTGATGGACGTGGGTTACTGACCTGGTAGCCTGTCTGCCCCTGGGTGGGTCCGGGATGGGCGTGAGGGTCTGGGGGCGCTCCATCTCTG